TTGACTGAATAATTCTTGATTGATAAGAGTGCAGTTCCAACTGTTACATTTGTTTAAGGTTGACCCTCCTTATATAGCATAAGGAGGAACAAAAGACAAATACAAAAGGCGCATGGACTGGAGATCAACAGCCTGAGACAGTCTTTGATATTGATCTTGTCGGTTGTACTATAAAAAGAGACAACAAACATACAAACAAAAGAGTACTTGTCCACAACACATGTCATTCTATTACATCGGAAACAAAACAACTTCGAACACAATACCAATCTCGGAAAACTTCCGTTCATCATCTCATCGGAAATTGCAACTACCTCGGATTGGACTTTTAGATTGCCAAGACATCACTTATTTTGAACTAACACGCCTCTCTCTTCCTTCTTCTTTTTTCATGACCGAAACCTAGGCACAAGCTAGGGTTTTGGTTTGTTTCTTCTCAAGAAGCCATCACTTAAAAAAGGAGGCTTGTTTGTGTTCATCGTGTGGTGGATTAGATGCTACATGGCAAAGAGATTGTTACATTGGTTTGCACGTGTGATAGAAAATTTATTGTCTAAGCTCTATACAATCATTCAAGAAAAATAATCTTCTTCTCTTTTATTCCTGCTTGCTTTGTAAATTTCAATGTCATTTTATTCTCTTTCATTCTTCGCGTTGCAAGTTTCAATATACACGGTTCCATGGTAAATCATGACGTTTGTTTGTTTATGCTTATGTTGTCATCAAATCATTTGAAGAACTATCATGAACTAGTAATAATTACCATAGCATATTTAATATAAAATCGACTAATTTATTATTGGCTAAGTCTTATAATATAGTTAGCATGGAGATTACACTTAAATTACAAAAACCATATGTCATCTAACATCAATGTAAAATTATCTCTTACTCTATAATTAGTAACATAAGAGTTTATAATAATGAAAAGTTTAAACAGAATGCTATATTATATTATTAATTATATATAAAAATAAGCTTACCTCATAGATTGACTAACAAATTAGTTGTTTTAATCTAAATTTATAATAAGATTGTCAATTAATTAAAAAAATTGACTTTTATTATTTTAATTATTCGGAATAAAAGAGAGATTGTTATATAATATAAGATAGTTGACTTAAATTTTTATTTACTTGTTATTTCATATAATGATTTTCAATCAACTAGTATTTTAGCATTTAATATGTAGATTGTAAGTCAACAACTAGTATTTTCAATCAACTAGCATTATTCGGATAATGATGTGATTTTTTTGGATGAATTGGAATCCAATTCAAGCTAACTCCTTTGTGTGGAGGCTCCTACAAAACAAACAGAGTTTCTGTTGTTGTTAACCTAGTTGTACGTGGGGTTAGTCTCTCTTTGTCTTCCTACTCCTTCTGACAAAGATATTGATCATTTCTTATTTAGCTGTCATTTCTCGGCTACCATTTGGAGATGGTTTTCTTCGTGGATAAACCTGCTTCCATCCCCTCATTTATGCTTATCTGATCTGGTGTCATGTTTAACTTCTCTTGAATTGGAGAAAAAAAGATGATATATGGTCTAGTATACTCGTTGTTCTGGTTGATTTGTAAAGCAATGAACTCTCTTATTTTCAAGAAGAAACTTTTCTCTTCGATAAAAACAAAAGAGGATATAGAGCTCTTATCGTTTAATAGGTTCAAACATACGATTAGATTTATGTGTCTTAATTGGAATTTGTTATGATGTTCTTCTATTATAGCTTGTAACTTGTAACTTGTAGCTTGTTTTTGTTTCTACTACCTTGCTAGTTTTAATAAATTACGTCGTTCTAAAAGAAGTTAAAAATAAAAAAAAAACAAATAAGTATTTAGCAAAGTATGCCGTTATCGTGAGGAATTGTTGTGATCCGTATACAATCAATAAAAAAATGAGAAATGCGTCAATAATGAAATGGTTGGAATAAAAGTTTGGTAAATATAAAACGAAGAGACTGTTAATTAATATAAGAACAGTTGACTTTAATTTTTATTTAGCTATTATTATGAATAATGATTTCAGTCTATAAGTATTTTAGCATTTAATATGTAACTTGCAAGTCAACAAATACGTATTTAGCAAAGTATGTCGTTATTGCGAGGAATTGTTATGATTCCTAAACAATTAAAGGAAAATGAGAAATGGGTCAACAATGAAATGGTTGGAAATTTGGAATAAGAATTTTGTAAATATTAAACAAAGTGGAGAATTTATACTAAAAATAAAATAAAAAGTTATTAAAATGACTTAAACCAAGATTATCAAGATCGGGATCTTACCCATGATCGTTTTATATTTTGTAAAACCGTGAACGTAAGATCGGATCAAGATCGGAAGATCCTACTAAAATGAACTCATATTCAAATTTGTTCGTAACATCTTGGTGTGCAATATACTTTATAACTTGACGAGTGAACTTTATTTTTTTAAACATGAACTATAATTTTAGTTGTTATAAATCGTAATAATTAAATAGAAAACATCTTAATTACAAAAAGAAACACGGTCACTATGATCTACAAATAAAGGCTTAAGATCACAAAGAGAATATCATAAGTGTAACATGCGTAATTAAAGATGAATTGATGAAGTGATGATGCTTTAAGGCTTCTTGTAACCTGTGATGTTCGATTTCAAGTTAAATAGACTAATTTTTTAGGCTTGACTATAAAATAAAACCAAATAGGTGGGATCGGATCGTGTTAAAATCTTATGATTTGAGTTAGGATCCTAAGATCCCAATATAGATCTTGTTTTATATAGACTCTATTGAATTGCATTAGTTAATTAATTAAAAGTTATATTTTATATTTTATATTTTATATTTTATATATTAGAAAATTACAAAAATGGTCCTGTGGTATGCATTTTTTTTGGGTTTTAGTTTAAACCCCGACTTTTTTGGCTTCATGGTCCTTTTGAGCTAGTTTTATTGTGTTTTTGGTCCCTCTAAATAGTAAAATGACTGTAATACCCTTGAGGTATTTATTTTTCATTTTTCTTTCATTTCTTTTTATATCTAATACTAATTTATTTATTTTAATAATTAAAAAAATAAAAAGGACCCAACTTCTCTCTTTCTCTCTCTCTCTAACCTCCAGTACCTCCACCTACCACTGCTAACAGTTTAAGAACCACCACCAGTCGACTCTCGGCTGCACACCCTCATAGAAAAAAAAGCACACCCCCTCTTTCTCTTGCAATATATCGATTTCTTTTCTTTCTTATTTCTTTATGATCGCAGATCGCTCTCTCTCTCTCTCTCTCTCTCTCTCTCGTCAGTAATGAAGAGTAAAAAAAAACCATACCCTCATCTTCTTCAAAAGAAGACGATCAATAGTGGCTTTCTTACTGGATCTTATACTCCTTCCTTACTCTCGTAGAGATGCTTTTGCATCTGTCCTTGAATGGTGACTACTGGAATAAAACACAACCATTTTATTTCAAGATTTGATCATCTTGATTTCCAGAAACTAATGGTTAGCAAATACCGATATGGTATGATGTGAAATTGATAGCGGTGGCATGGCTGGTGTTACCACAGTTCAGAGGAGTTGCTTTCATCTATAGTAAATTTGTGAATGAGAAGGTGATTAAGAGATACTGCTCTAGGATTGGAGGAGGAGAGCACAAATCATCGTCGTCGTCCCCAAAAAGAAAGATGAACAAGCTTGCTGATCTTATGACCACTAAGAAATCCAGTTGATTGGGTTAGGTTGTCAGTATATTATTGTTAACAATTGACTGTGTTTACGATGCATTCGTTTTTTGTTTTTCTATTTAAGGTTTAATTTTAAGTTAAAGTGGTTGTGATTGGGTATGATTACCACACCTGTATTAAAGAATGAAAATGAAGAACTGGTTTCTGATTTCTTTAGATGATGTGTGTAATTTCACTATTTTGATACTGAAAGAGTCTTGATTGACTGATGATATTCCATTTGGATTAAAATTGGAATTTGAGGAATGTTGTTTGCAAGATGAATTTAGGTCTGGTATAAGAGAGAGAGAGAGATATATATATATATATATATATATATATATATATATATAGTATTTTCTTTTTCCTTTAAGTTAAAATGAAAAAAACATAAAAAGGATATCAGAAAGGGTATTTTAGTCTTTTCAGTTTTCCAAGGGACCAAAATCACAAGCAAACATAGTCAAAAGGACCACGGAGCCAAAAAAGTCGGAATTTGGACTAAAACCCCAAAAAAACACATACCACAGGGACCATTTTTGCAATTTTGTCTTTATATATTAAATAAAAGTATTAAATAATCAAATATAAAGCAAAATACATTTTAGGTCTTTTACCAATTTATGGTTTTTACTATTCAATATTCACAACTTATATCCCTCTCGAATTCACAATTCATACTTATTTTTCGTTTTCAATTTCATCTCTTAATCATAAAAAGTTTACATCTTTATTTTTGGAATTTTGATCTTTAAGTTTAAACATTTGTAATTTATGTTTGGAAAATTACAACATTAAATATTTTTAGAAAATATTTGGTTTTCACGGTTTCTAAACCGAATTCGAATTATATACTCGGCTTGGTTTAGAGGGATATAAATTCGATCTGGTTCATTTTCAAATTGGACTAAAAAAATTTCAAACGAAAGAACCCATTATAAACTGAACCAATAGATTCTACCCCTACATGTAATCATTTTAATGAAAAATATAGTATTTGACTTCATATTATTTAAACTTTAGATAATATAGTTTCATAAAAATTAATTAAACTTATAAAAATAAATATTTGTAAATAACAAATGGAATACATACTGAACTCAACGACATTAGTTTCATATCAAAAATTAAAAATATGAAAATCATATGAAATCCTAATCTCCAAAATTCAACACTATGGCTTCAAAATCTACCAAGTATCCTTAAGGAGATTGATTCTTCAATTTGAACCTATTTTCATATTTACATGTTCAAGATCTCTAAAATGGCGATCTGACTTTCAACGACACAATTTCTACCAACATTGGTCAGTCTCCCATCTCCGACTCTGGTAACCACCGGAAAATCTCACCGGAGAAGAACCCCCCGCCCGCCTCTGAACCAGAGTCCGATCGTAATCCGCTCGTTTCACCGGATCTGCAAGTGTAGCATAAGCTGAGTGCACTTTCATGAACTCATCTGCCGACGAGTCACTACTCCCGACATCCGGATGCAAAACTCTCGCTAATCTCCTGTACGCCGCTTTCACCTCCCGTGTATCAGCTCCGATTCGAACTCCGAGCACCTCGTACAGTGAAGAAGGAGTATTATTACAGAACGATCTAATTGTCTCTGTTTTCTCAGCAGTGGCGTAAGAAGCTGAAATCGGAGCTCTTCCGAACCTGACAGAGTTTGAACTCGATTTTGCCGATGACTTTAAATTGATGGAGAAATTAGGGGAAGTAAAAAAGGAAGATGCAGTTGAAATAGATGAAATAGCCATTGATGTGTAGTTTTTAGATTTCTGAGTTGTTATGGATGAGATGAGGAATTTGGTGGGGGTGGATTTATAGGCGGAGATTTTGGATGAAATACGTGGAATCTTGAAAGGAAGTTATCCAAATGGAACAATTTCTGTTATCTCGAATTAAATAAACAAGAGTCAGCAAACAGGCGGTGGCGGTGTTTACGGCACCGGGGAATCTTCACCGACATCATCGCCAACTCCGGTCGTCCACGTTCATTGATTCTTCTGAAGCTACACGTAAGGATGTTAGCTCATCTGTCTTAATCAATCCGTTGTTACTACAAAATATGTATGTATAAAAAAAATAGGACTTTCGTCAAACAGAAAAAAAAGGACAAATCAAATAAGTGAAACGTCTTTTTTTTATTATACTTTCTGAGGGATTTAAAAATATATTTATTGCATGTAGACATATGTTTGTTTCTGATTGGAGAATATCAGAAAACGAAATTTAGATTATTTAATCTGTGTTGGGTTACTCATACGGAGCGCGCAAACTGTATATTATTGTCCCCTTGCTTATGGCTAATACTGTGTGCGAAGGACCTGGTGACAACATATATATATATATATATATATA